GCAGTATCATCGGCTTATTAAAGGCAGTGTGACGATGGGTTGTTAGGGCGAGGAAGGTCGTATGTGTAGATGATGTATAAGACTAGGGCTAGGACTGAGCCCTGTGGTACTGCTGCTAGAGGTGTAAATGAGTCCACTTTAACTGTGATAGTTCTGTTTAAGAGATAAGAGTGAATGAGCTTGGTGATGTTGAGGGGGACACCTATTTCACGAGTTTTTTTATTAGTCCGTCATACCAGACTTAATCAAAAGCTTTTTGAAGATTGAGAAGAACGGCTGAGCAGAGGTGTGGAGTACAGTGAGGGCGTCCTGAGTGTAGTGGTGATTTCTAAAACTATGTTGGGATTGAGATATGATATTTCTTTCTTCACAAAAGTCCCAGATGGATTTAGGGTCCTTGCCTGGTTTAGGAATTTGAATTGTGTTTGATGACTTCCAGGCAAGTGGAAAGTAGGACAGGGAGCGAGTGTTAGGATGGGAGACATAGTTTCAGGAATGGGAAAGTGAGCGGGTTTTTGACATCCAATGGAGGGGAGGGGGTAGGAGTAGATAGTATGATGATTTGTTTGGTCTGGTTTCGAAATTGTTCGTCAAAGTAGGGGTTAATTTATTTAAGTGGAGGTTGATTTATTTGGAGCCTGATCAGGGGATTTAGACAGTTCCATTCTGTGTACAAACATATTGTCTATACAGTGGGCGTTTTTGGGAAATGCGATTTAAGATGTGCTGGGGTAGGGCTTGTTGGGAAGTGTTTATGGAAGTCATAGGGGCTTATGTTTCGATGGCGAGGGTGATGGTGTCTTGTTCTTCTACTACCATATTGTCGATGTCCTATGGCGTGTTGAGCGGGCGTTGCTTTGGTAGGTTGTCAAAGATGGTTCACTAAAATAATTGCTAATCTGCGTTTCTGAGGTTTCGAAAGGTATCGATTGTGGCTTTTAGTGGGATAGGGGTGAAAGATGTGTTTACCATCAAAGGGAGATGATCGAAGGTTATTGTCTTACCTATGAAACATCCATCAGCGATCAGTCCTGAACAGAAGTCTGTTAAATGGATATGATCCATGATAGAGTTACCCAAGTGAAAAGGTCGAAAGTGTGTTTGTGGCTCTGACGATGGGGCGATTGATAAGCAGATCAGCGAGTACGTTACCGTTTGCATTTGAGCTGAAATCAAGTTAATTTCCTTTTTGTTTAATTTTAAGTATGTTTAGTTCAAGTTTATTTCCGCCTGATAACGTTCTGAGGAACCCTCGTATTTTGTTTCCTAATAATTCCCGGTTTTGAACGTTTGCAAGAGCTCCCTTGGTTTAAAATATATTATTATTTGCTGAAATTCGAATCCAGCGTTAAATAATCAATTTCATATGAATTTAACTTGCTACTTTCGCAAAAGTCAAAAGGACGTTTTTTCTGGGTTTAGGACATCTGGACGTCGCCGTTTCGGGGTGGCCATTTCGACGTAGCTATTTGAATGTCATGCCATTTCGCCGTTGGCCGTTACGGCGTCGGGTTTCGTCGTCGGGAATACTATTTTTTAGTATTTATGTTATAACCGTTGTAAGGTTTATTATGAAATAATTAAAGTATTGAAATAAGTGAGGTATTGCATAGGAATGGGATAAATACTTTAATCTGTTTTTCAAGTACCTATCAGAATTATAATAGTAGTGTAATTAATATTAGTTTAATCATTATTTTATATGAACATTAGTATAATTGTTCCAAATTTGCAACCCAGAGTAATCTATTGTGATTTCGAACAGGCAGCATTCAAAACAATGGAAGATTGTTTTCCAGGCGTCACTATAAATGGTTATTTTTTTCACTTGGCCCAAAATATGATGAAACAAATGACTTCTATGGGACATACGAGAGAGTACAATGCTGATCCACAATTCTCTCTAAACTGCAGAATGGTGATATCTTTGGCATTTGTTCCTATCGATCATTTAGATCATGCTTTTGATGTTCTAGCGGAAGACCTACCTGACGAATATCAACCACTGTTGGACTGGCTAGAAGATATTGGACGCCTTAATAGGTATTTAAATCACTGTTTTTAACTAAATTCGTGTATTTTTATAATAAATAATACTATTTTTATTAACAACTTTGTCTGTTTTTTGCACAAGAGGAAATGCTAGACGGCCAGATTTATTCCATCCAACGATGTGGAACCTTTACCAAAGGATTTTGGATCAAACAGACCGGACCAATAACCATGCAGAGGTAGCACATAGAAGACTACAGTTCGAATTGGTAGCAGATCATCCAACCATTTGGAAATGGCTTGCGTCAGGTGCAAAAAGGTCGAGATTTATATTTCGAGTACCTTATAATAAACCTAATTATAATAAATATAACAATTATTTAAAATTTATAAAAATTATATTGTTAAGTTTACCAAAACTTCCAACGTCAAAATGGCCGGCGCCGAAATGGCCGACGTCCAAATGGCCACGCCAAATTGGCCACGCCAAAACGTCCAATTCCAGTTTTTTCTGCCATTCGAGTTGTAAATATTGGCTACTCTCACTACGAATCACATGTTGTTGCCGTTAATTTTGCCGCCTTTTGCTACCGGTTTGTGCGCCTATTTAGCATCAGTTTTTTTATTATTTTCCTGGGCATCGACTGCCGCTAAATAATTATTTGGAGAGCTAGAGAAAATTAGTTAATTTGGCCGCCGAACCGTAGGAGGTTCTTCCCCAAAGTCGTCGCATGGACTCAAACGGCTATCATAAGACCTATGTTAACATACGGTGCAATTATCTGGGTAACAAAAACTCAAAAATTAACAGCTATGATGTAGGATCTGGTGAGGCGAGACGTCGCTTTTAGCAGGAGGCGCTCTATACGCTTCAAGCAAACATGGACTCCTTCTCACCAAGATATATCTTCCATAAGCCATATAAAGTTATAACAGAACAAATAGAAGAGCCGGAAGTGGCAGGTACGATTCATATCTACACCGATGGTTCTAAAACAAAACAAGGATTAGGATGTGGAATATACTCCAGATTCTTAAACCTAAATATAAAATAGGCTGTGAGCAATAGTCCTAGTATAGTTCAAACAGAGCTAACGGAGATTCTCATAGCAGCAAAAGAAATCACCAGAAACAATATCACTGGAAGGAACATGTTCATCTATACAGATAGCAGACAAGCACCCTGAACAGACCACGAATTTACTCAGGTTTTGTACTACAATATCACGAAGCTTTGGCCGAAGTATCCATCAACAATGTGGTCACCTTAAGATGTATCAAAGGTCACTTCACATCGATTCACTAGCCAAGAAAGCAGCCAACCCAATACCCTTTGGTTCTATTGGCCTGACAATTAAAGAACATTCAATTGTGAAATTCAAGGAAAGATGGGATGAAACAAATACTTAACTAGACAGAATCTGCGCCTAGTAACAGGCATTCTGACTGGTCATTGCCAAGTACGGAAGCATCTCCCTATCATGGGGCTGTCAGAATCCGCACTCTTCAGAGGGTGCGAACAAGAAGATGAGACCATCGAGCATATCCTTTACGATTGCTCGACGATCTCATTTGTGTTCGGCGAGTATCGGCTAACACCGGCCGATATAATAGAAGCACCTCTAGGCAACTAGATTAAATCTGTAGACCGGCTCACGAGCTAGGAGGTGCCTATCGTCTTAGGAGGATGCACAATGGGCCTAGTGAGGCGAGTGCCGTAGAGGTAACCTACCCTCCACACGTTACAGATACAGATCTGATTGGTTATTCATGCTACTACCATAATTTAATTACCGTTTCATGAGTTATTTTTTTAGATTTGTGATATTTGATTTATTTGCTTTGTTTGATTCCGATTTACTAATTCGTTGATTTATTTATACTGATTAAATAACATTTTCAGGAACTACCGTTTCATGAGTTTTGTTTTAGATTTAAGTGATATTTATTTAATTTATTTGCTTAGTTTGTATATTGATTCAATACACCGTTTAGTTATTTATAATGATTAAATAACTATCCCAGGAATTACCGTTTCATGAGATTTAGTTGATTTTCTTATTTTGCATTTTGAGTTAATACACCGTTTAGTTATTTATACTGGCTAAATAACTTTCTCAGGAACCATCGTTTCATGAGTTTTGTTTTAGATTTAAGTGATATTTATTTATTTGATTATTTTGCTTATTTTGTATTTTGAGTTAATACCCCGTTTAGTTATTGGTACTGGCTAAATAGCTTTTCCAAAAACCACTGCTTCATGAGTTTTTTTTAGATTTAAGTAGTATTTATTTATTTGATTTATTTGCCTATTTTGTATTTTGATTCAATACAACGTAAAGCTATTTATACTGTTTAAATAACTTTCCAGGGGTCACCGTTTTATGAGTTGTTTTTTCAAGACGTGAGTGGTATTTTTTTTTATCGATTTATATTTATTTTACCCATTATCGACCGAATTTGTGACCACCGTCCGAAATAAATATACTTTGTTGAATTTTACCTAAATTTTCTTGCAGAATTATCTCAAGAGTGGTTTTGGGTGTTTTGTAATGTTTTCGTTTTACCCCACTAGTAGCTGGCCGCCTGGAAGTTATTTTACTCCACTCAGCCTACTTTGAGTGCACTCTAGATGCATTTGATGGTCGCAGAGCAAACTGCAAAACTGGCGGCTGAGCAGCTCTTATTCTAATTTCACCACTCTAAGCGTCACCCTTGACTTCCACTTCACAGTACGGGAAGCAAGAAGCCTGTCACAATCTGATCACTGATCGAGTTGCAAATAATAAAACTAAGTGATAAGAATAATAAGATTGGTATAAATGCTTAAGAAAACATAACATTTACTATGGTAAAATTACGAAATTTAGTTAGCAAATAAATATTTTTAACATAACAACAAAAGCGTCTGAAAATGATTATTGTTTTTAAAAACAGTTGAAAACACCACCATAATAAAAATAAGTAAATCAAATGTATTTAAATATGCATAGTTATAGTGTACTTACCCAGTAAGTAGAACAATCAAAATTGGTCAATAACCACTTGTTCGGGTTGGTGTTAAAGGAGTCTGCATATTCTATTCCTTTAAGTAGATATTTCAATTCTGGGCAAATAAAAGAGTTTCCAGCATAAGCTGCGTCCACATGTAGCCAGACGCAAGGAAATTTCTGGCAAACTTGTCCTATTTCTTCCAGATTATCAAATGAACAACAAGAAGTTGTTCCTAAAGTTGTGGAAACAAAGAAAGGGATAAGACCCATAGTTTCGTCTTCTTCCATTGCCTTAAAATAATTGAATTGTAGTATTTAGTACCAATAATACATACAGCGAAAAAATTAATGATCAAGCGCTTTAATTTTTTAAATATTTGCCTTTGAATCATCGAAACTGACAAAAATCAAAACCACTTCTTATAAAAACATATTTTTTGCGTCTAGGAAAATGTAAATATTGAATGTTAATAAAATGTCATTATAATCCTAAATCTTAATCTTAAATTCAACAACAACAACAACAACAACAACAACAACAACAACAACAACAACAACAACAAATTTCCGCTGAACTTCGCGTTAGCCAATCTGTGATTTCAAGAACTTGGAATAGTTTTTTGGAGACTTGTGATTTGACAAGGAGGCTAGTCAGTATCGTATTTTATAAAAAGTAATTTAAAGTATGATTTTTTGCCATGCACGTGGCAACACAGTAAACCTGAAACTTTGATTGGTTAATCTCTCATATTCTACATCTGTGGATTGATATGTTTCCGAATATCGTACGATCGATAGTTCTTTAGTTCTGTCGTGTTTTTGAATTAAGTGAATGTCTCTTGGCACAGCAAGGCCAAAAAAATGCAAGAATAACAAAATCCACAGTCAAAATTATTATGATTTACTTCTTAGGCAGCAAAGGCAAAAATAAGGAAAAATTGAAAAACCTGAAAAAAAAAGAAAAAATCTGTCCGAGCCATGAATTGATTCTGGATCTCCGAGTTTACCCCTCGTTACCTTTAAAAATTAGGCCACCGAGCACATATCTACGACAGCCAATTCAACAGCTACGGACCTTCCAATTGATTAAGATAACAAGACGTAAACTCTGACATTCTTGGCATGGGCACATTTTTTTTTTTGTTATTTTCAGCTGTTTAAATTTTGTTTTGTTTTGTGTTAACCTTGAGGTTATGGGGAAGGATGTCTTAATTTCAAAGGGGGAATTTGGGTTTTCATTTTCACATTTCCAAAATATTTCTGAACATTAACCGATATTCTCTCTCCATTCTTTACTATTTTTTGTTTCCACTGGATTTCAGGGCTACCAAAAACCTTAGAACACCTGTGTTCATTTGCAAGTATTAACCGCTAAATTATCATCCATCTCTCTTAAGAGCAATCCAGTCCGTTCTGACGTCACACCGCACGGATCTAACGACCTAATCTTAAAGTATTTGGAACCTTGTTCACTAAATAAATTAGACAATGTCGTGTGTCGTGCGCTCAAGAATAATCATAGGATTGGGTAGGGTCCGATTACAATTACATGAACACAGGTATGTCATCAATTGGCAAAGTAATTCATTGGCTATCGCCGCCTACTGAGGGTTTAGAAGCCATAGGAATATAGGAATACTATTTTTAAACCAAACAACTCAAATATTAGAGAGTTATTGCAAGTTCACTTAAGGTCAGTCACTATTAGTGGCGCTCTTATTTTGACATCTGAGCATGTGCTGATCACTAACTTTAATAAAGATTGGGCCTCTCCTTAATAAGAAAGTTATTGCAAGTTCACTTAAGGTCAGTCACTATTAGTGCCGCTCTTATTTTGACATCTAAGCATGCGTAGATGTTTATGTTCTAAAACTGACTTTATTAAGGATTGTGCCTGTTCTTAATTGTGGATGTTTAAGGGCAGCAGGTAGTGGGGACTTTATAATTTTCAGATGCGCTCGCCGACATTCGTATCCGTTATAAGTTTTTCAATATTAAATATTTAATATAATCGTCATTTAAACCTTCTAAAATTATAATTTCTAATGCCTCTTTAATATTATAGACAACAAAAAAGATGAACTATAATTTAAAGTTTAGTGGTTGGCTTTATAAAAATTTGCAATATCTCTCTATTAAGGACAGGCACAATCTTTATTAAAGTTAGTGATCTACGCATGCTCAGATGTCAAAATAAGAGCGGCACTAATAGTGACTGACCTTAAGTGAACTTGCAATAACTCTCTAGTTTTTATTTATTGATAGTTATAGATGATATACAGGGTGTCCCGAAATTAGACGGTCATATTTTAACAGTGTAATCTACATCCTAAAATAGTAGTAAAAATTCATATAAACATAGGTCCGAAAACGTTTTTTTTTTTTTTTTTCGAGATACAGGGGTCTATTCTGTAATAATTCCTTTATATTTAACGGCCTTTAAAAATATTGGCGGCCTATAAAAATATGTTCGTATTCGTTAATTTACTTCTGTCAGTATTTAAACAGATTTCTTTAAGATAGTCCTCTAATGTATTTTAAAGATCCGTTTAAATAATGACAGAAGTAAAGAAGAAAATATTTTTAAAGGCCGTTAAATATAAAGGAATTATTACAGAATAGACCCCACAGGCTGTTAAAGGTGAAGTCCTGATACCACACTTTTGTAAATATTTTCTAAACGTTTAAAGATAATTAGGTAAAATTTGGTACAAATACTTACCTTTTTACGCTCTATTTATTGGACTAAACCCCAGTTTTTTTATCATCTTTATTGGTGGGTAAATTAGGGGGAGCTTAGGGTAAAATTGCCCTAAGTTTTTTTTGTTGATGGTTTTTAACATTTTTGACTATAAAATTTGGAAAACCAATATTTAAAATTAAATTATTACATTTATAATCTATAAAAGTGACTACATACTTTCAAACTGATTATTTAAGAAAATTGGCGACTAAAAAAATATACTGTTAATAATTCATTTCACCTTAATTTTATTGTTCAGCTTTGGTTAACATTATACACAAGTTTATTTGAATCGATTCAAAATTATTTATTGTTGAAGAATTAATTACATTCTTATTAATAAAGATAGATAACATAAGTTAAAATTCAAAGGAAAAGAAACAAACAAAATATTCATAAATGAAATTTTTTGTTTTAAAATTTTTTAAATTCTAATATCGAGACAAAATATAATATAAAAACAAAAAGGCACAACACTAAATACAAATATGGCAATCGAGAAATATATATACACGAGTATACACATAAATTAAAATGAACTTCTTAATTCAAGGGATCACAGAAAAATTTATCCACTTTGTAGTATGCCTTTTCGAGCAAGAGTTTCTTAACTTGCTTTTTAAACATCTTCTCACTATACACAATACAAAGGACACCATATATTTCAGTTTCACATTTAAATTAGTTATTTGTATATGCCTTTCATTAGTTCCAGTTTTTATGTGGTGATGTCTTTGTACGTTTTGGCTATCATCTTGATCTCAATCTATCAGATGGCGATGTTAGGTATGAAGATTTAAATCCTAGACCTAACATCATCTTCAAGTTTTGTGGTGGAGGAAAAATTCAGTTTCAGATGAACACTATCTTTTTTACGCCAAAGAGAAACTATATTAAGCTAAATTCCTTACACCATGGCTAAATTTGAAATAAATTACCTACTTTTTTTGTATAAAAACACAAAATATTTTTTGTTATTTGGCATTACTTTTGCATAAGCGTCTATCTGCCTATAGTGACTTTTCTTGTATTATTGAGCATAAATTGTGTTATTTGACGCACTTGTTATTTTCTTCTAAATATATTTTCAGTTTTATAATGATTATAGAACTAGGAAATAAAAATGCAACGTCTTGACAATCATTACAAAATGTTAACAAAGCCATGGAATGGCATGGTAGTGTATAGGCAGCCGTGGCAATACCGATGTTGACGTCATAAAACCTGCGGACCGCTTCACCTGTATCCATGAGAAAATCCTTAAACTCTTCATTTTCTATGTATGTTTAGCGATAATGCTTTACTACCTTGTCCGATTTATATGATTCTCTGAAGCTATTGGTTTTGGGAAAAAAATTCAAGAATAAAAAAAAATTTAAATAAAACAACGATTTCAAGTTATAATTTTATTTCATAAAAGTTCATCTCGAAAAAAAGTGTTGCCAATTTCACCCCCAATAATGTAACAGGAATATTGAAAAAATACCCGTAGTTAGTTCTTTGCGAGTGCACGAAAATTACAGAATTTCAAGCTTCTAGCTTTACTAAAATTTTAGAAAAAAAAAATAAAAACTCCATTTTAGTCACCACCTTTTAAGGGTGGATATCTCGAAAAGGGGTGGGCTGAGGAAATTTTGTTATAGGAAAGACCCATCCTAATTTCATACGAGCAATCACCTCCTGAATTTTGTCGCATGAATTTAGAAACACCCTGTATATTACACATATTTTTTTTAAGCGGGCAAAATTCTTGACAATCTTTTCCCTAATTGGCACATGTCGTATTTCTCTAGGATTTACTAACTCTGGCAGCAAAACATTAAAATGGAAATTTGTCAGCTGTGGTAGCATGCCTCAACGACAAACTAAGACGATCACAATAATTTCGCACCTCTTCAAAAACAACTATTTTTCGACCCAGGAATTAACAAATTTAACTAAACAGCAGCTACCCTTTTAACCACGGGCTTCATAGACTAGCAGCGTTGCCATATTCACTGTATCATTGTTCTAATAGAATTATTAGTATCGGAATGAAAACTATGTTAATCTTTCGTCCTGTTTAAAATTGGTAATCTTTTTAAAAATAGTTATTTAGAAAATAGTTAAGATATTTGTTATAACATGACGCTAAAGAGCCAACAAATTAAATTTGTTAAAAAGTTGAAATTTTTGTTGTTTTTCTTTGAAAAAGTTTTTCGCGATTTAGCGTCATTCTTGGTTCATTTTTAGAACGATTGGCCTAAACCATTTTTTTTACAATTTTTTTAACTGCCTCAAACGTAAAATTGATTTTTGGCGCGGAGGAGCGCCCGTCATGTTTGCTCTTAATGAAAAATTACCATGAAATTATATATTTACGAAAGCCTTGTCACACGTATAGCTTCATCTCACTTGCGCTAACAAGACGAATACAAAATTGACCGCTAAAACACATCTTCAATTACAAACAACAATATTTTTGTCCTTGTTCTGCAAAAGAAACTATCAACTATACCATGCGATGTCCCTCAACCAATCACAAAAAAAACACGCTCACTGGCGCAAC